CGTATGCTTCTTGTGGAGTCGATGATTAAACAGCAACAAATTTATACCGAACGTAATCGAGAACGAATCAATAATATTAATACCCACTAATTTGTGTTGTAAAGATTTATTGTTGTCCTCCATTTCTAATATTTGGGACTTTAACATTTGCTGTAAAATTGAATAAAAAAAAAGATGATCAAATAGATAAATTTGATAAAAGTATTCATTCTAAATTCAGAAATCAACTTACGATTTCTTCTAATAAAGAGGCTTCTTTCGTTTCAATTTCACGAATTTTGCAATCACGCTTTCGAATTTCATTTTCATGTTCTGCAGTAATTTTTTTAGTTATATCTTGATAATAATTTGTAGTGCGATTAAGTGCTTGATCCACCGCTTCTTTGTTCTACAAATAAATTAATTTTTGGTTTAATTAATAGTATTATTTCATTTATAAAACTACGAATTACCTGCAGATAACTGTCGCTAATCTCAACAAGTGATTTATTGTGCTCATGTAATTTATTATACATTGAGTTCAATGAAGCCAGCTGTGACTCAAGTGAACTGGACTTGGACTTGTATGTTGTAAACAATAAAATTAGATCTTATCATAAAAGGGAATACTTGAGACAACGTACCTTCCAGGTTTCTAACTCATCTATCAAGTTTTCGATCTTCCTTTTATTATCAAGGTTGTTTTTATTAAGTTCGGAAATAATCTTATTATGTTGAATTTGAAGATCTAAATCTTGTATATCAGCAGTTCCGACAGCGACTAAAATGCATAATTTTATTTCAATTTTAAATAATTTGGTATAGTCTGAAAAGTCTGAAAAAAGCAAAAGTAAAGTACCAGTTGAACTATCTGGTTGACAACAATCCATTTTAATTAATTGGGATTCTAATTGTACAATCCTATTAAAATTTAACATATAATTAGTATCAAATAATTATCATTAATAATACAAGTATTACGGTATTTTACCTTAAATTATCTTTATCGCACGTCTTGGACATTTCATCTACTTTTCGTTCAGAGCTTCTTAATTCGGTTTCAATCCTAAACCGTTCTGACCTTTCATTCCGATATTCGTCTTCTAAACGTAAACGATGATTACGTTCTTCATGACGTTCTGATTCTAATCGAAGGCGTTCTTCGCGCCATTCAGCCTCAATCTGAGAACGTTCTTTGTGAAAATCATTCTGTAATTTATAACGGTCCCTACAAAATTCTGATTCAACTCGCTTAAGATCAGTTTCGTGTTTAGCACGCATGATTTCTATTTCTTGCTTGAGTGAATCGCGATCCGTTTTCATTAATTCCTTTGTTTGAATAATTTCTACTTTAAGGTCATCCCTTTCCTTTTCAGCTACATCTAACTGAGCTATACTATTAATAACATTCAAGAAAAAACCAAAGATAAGACAATAATATGTATAAATTAATAAATAAATGTATGTATATCTTCTATCCAAAATACCGTTCATCTTTCTCCTTAATCATGAACTTCAATTGAGTAACTTGAGATCGAATAGACTCGATTTTCCGTTCAATTTTATTGATTGACAGAGGAGCAATTCTAAATTAGACATGAATGAGCAAGATTATCGTCATTGTAAACTTATTCATTACAAATTAACCACATACTTTTCTTCGTCTTCTTTTATCAAATTTCGATTATCTTTAAATTCTTTATTCTCAACCTCACTTAATAATTGGTTTAAAATACCATCAAGTTCGGATGAATAATTTGAGGATTTACTATCTGTCTCTTGTATTTCTTGAAGTAACCGAGTTCTAATGTCCGTGAGCTGTGCATTTGCTTCAATAAGTTTTGAGCTGAATTCAGTAATTTGTACTAGTTGATCTCGTTCTAATAATACAGAAATTTTACAATAACGTTCAAATGTTAACAAAATAACAAAGTAATATTAACTTTAACAAAACATACGTGCTTGAGTCATTGCAGCATTATTATCTAAGGTTGACTTGTATTTAGTAGTAAGCTTACTAAATTCTGTGAAATTTACGATATAAATTAGAGGGATTTGAAGATTTGAATATTTGTAATAACAAAATAAAACTTACCTGATCTCATTGATTCAAACTCTTCTTCCATTCTTTCTTTATGATTACATATTTCCTTCATATTATTGCCCATATTATAGAGTAAGTTACTAAACAATGAATATTTTAACTTGATATTATTGATTCGTTCTCGATTACGTTCGGTATAAATTTGTTGCTGTTTAATCATCGACTCCACAAGAAGCATACGTTCGCGATAATTAAATAAAGATTTTTTTTTACGTTCTAAAATATCGCGAAGCGTGGCAATTTCATTACGCTAATAATTATTTTAATTAAATTTAAAATATATATTATTTCATTGATTATAAAAATCTTAACCAAACAAAATTAAATATATTTCGTCTCACCAAATCTCCAATAAGGCAGTCCCTTCTAACCACTTCATCTTTCCATCTTTGAATGGTTTCAATTAATAGATTTAACTCATTATCATCATTTAAATTATCCTTTAATTCAGAGTTACAACGTGAAGGAGTTTGAGAAATAAGAAAATGATCGGAATTATTTTTATTAAAGGAAAGTGATCCTTCAACGTTAACTTTGTCGTTTTCTTTGGATATCTCAATCGTATCTTCTTCTATTAGTACCTCATCATTATTATCCGTTTGAAAGTAACCATTATTTGATAAGGATGAAGTTGTTTTCTGATCCAAGTAAGTGTCAGAATGTAAACCGTGAGCCGAAATTTTATTCTCGGTTAGAGATGATGTTCGCTGTGAGGACAGCTCTGGAGATTGAAGTGAGGTATTATTAGAATCAGCGCAAGTTTCTTTATCTGAAGTCTTTTCTTGAATTGAAGGCTCCTGATTAAGAGGTTCCGCTGTTTTTTCATTATATAAGGACTTTGCTTTATTTAAGGTAACCTTTTTTAAATTTTCATTTTCTAGAATCCTTTCTTCACTAAGTGTAGTTGACTCATTTGTAATTTCCTTTGATATGTTTCCAAATTTCTTGAAAAATAAATTTGCAAAAGTTGGAGTGTGTGAATCACAAAGGATAGGATTTTGGGCAACGGATAAATTTGGTGGATTATCAACTGCTTTCTTTTGAAATTCTTTGAATGACAAGCGAGCTGCATTTGCCCTTGTCCTGAAATGTGGAGATACGAATACATTTGAAGCTTTTATATTGTTAATATTGGACGCGTCAAAAGACTCTGATTGAACCGCTGTTTGATTTTGCAAATTCATTTTTTCCTCTAAAAAAGAAATAACGATTTTGTAGAATCGGGTTTGGACCTTGAAATATTTGCAAGAATTGAACGTGTTAGTGATTCAGAATTTAAAGACTTTATTTCCGATGGTGACATCAATTCATTATTAAAATTTTCATCACATAAATAAAAAAAATATCTAGACGGAGACTTTTTTCAAAAAGGAATTATTTTTACGCTGCACCGAGAGTTATTTATTATTCTTGCTTAAAATTTATGTAAATATATTTAATATATTTATATATAAATAAAAGAAAAGGAAAATAATTACACGAATAAAATCAATTATGAGACGCACTTCCTGAAAAATTTTTTGATTATTGTTAAATAAGTTTTACCGAATTTTTAAAAACACAATTTGGTGACAGAAATGATCGACATATACGGTCAGACCTGCCTATAATCACCCTGTCTATAATCACATCGTATTAACACCTATAATACCCCTTTATTATTACAGTATTTATTACCAACCATGCGACTCGGGTCTGTTGAAATTTGGACTCGGATTTTACGCCAATGCATAAACATAAAATGTGGGAAAATTTTAATAATCTGTACATTTACCAAAAAGTTTATTGAACTAACTATTAATGAAAAATCAATTTTTTTTTTCTTTAGAATTGTGGCGGAACATGTATATGCAGGGTTTTAAAGAAACCAAATACCATAGACTTCTTTTTCTGTTTTAGGTTCATAATATAAAAAGATGTATGTGCTTGGACTTTAACCCCACGAGTCAAACCGCAGTAAGTATTAAACTTGATTCGGATTTCCACGTACATCAAGGTTTCCTTATATATACTGACGTATTATCGTAATAATTAGCTGGTCATTCGATTGGTTTTTTTAAGGCTTATACGGTGACCCTAATCCTTTAACCCTTAATTTTTAAGAAACAAATATTTCATGATGGAATTAGACCGTAGAAAAGAAGAGTTAGAAAAGAAAAGACAAAAACTTGCCGAACTTCGTCGTGCAAGAGAAGAGAGAAAACAAGTATTTATCAATGCGTCTCAGAAGCAAGAAGAGAAACCTGCGGTTAGTACCATAAATATTTTTCACATTTGTCTTTCAAGACCTTAATTCTTAAAGATGGTTTACCTTTGCTCTTATAGGAAAGGAGTCGCAAGGAAATGATTAATGAGCTCGTCAACTCCTTGTTAGACGGAGACCGTCCTGGAACACCATCGAAAGCTGAAGATACAGAATCTGAAAAAGTGATACCCTCACATCATGCACGTCACAGTTCTGTTTCGACAGGCTACGGTATTTCTCCTGTAACTTCAACTCCTCAAAGGTAAATATAAATTGGCTAATATTTTGAAGATAAACTAATTTATATAATAATCTGATTTTTTTTTTTTTTATATTGGGTTTGTAATTTAGTCCGAGCGTAACGGTGCCTCCTCGATATATTCCGGAATTCTCTTCATTTGAAGCAGTGATATTAGATATTGCTCCAAAGGTAGATAACGATTTCATTTTACATGTTGGTGTTACAAGATAGTTTCTAATTCGATTTTCACTATACATTAGGAACTCGTACTTTACAGTAAAGAAGTCCAAACTGATGAAAATTCTTTTGGACCATCACCACCTGATGAACATGAAATTCGTGCTAAAATCTTAAAAGAACAAGAAGAAAAAGAAAAGGCACGTCAAGCTGCTTTGGAAGAAGAAAAATTAAAAATCGAAGCGGAAAAGAAACGAGCACAACAACTTAAAGATTTATCGGAAGAAGATAGAAAAAAGATTCTTGTTTCAAATGAATTTGCTAAATTTATTGATCATTCAACTAAAATTGTTGAACGAGCGCTTAATGAAAATTATGACTTTATGAAAGATTATTCAATCATTAAAGATAATGAAAAGTAAGTAATTACTTATTTATATTATTATGATTTTTTATAATCATAAAAATTAATTATTTTTTTTTTTTTTACGATATTTTCTTTTCTTTTCTTTTCTTTTCTTTTCATATGTAGTGATGATCAATCAGGATCTAGGGTTAAAAATTTACATTCGTTCTTTGATGAACGATGGACCAAAAACCGGTCAGTCACCGATGTAAATTGGTCACACAAAGTAAATAAATATCTAATTTATTTAATTTCGTTCTTGATATAACCTAAATCTTTAGAATTTTAATGAATCTCTATTTTTAGAATCCTGAACTATGCGTTGCTTCATATAATAAAAATCCTTTTGCATTGAATGAACCAGATGGTGTTGCTTTAGTATGGAGCTTACAATTATTAGATCGACCCGAATATATTTTCCATTCACAGGTAATTTACTTAATTTTATTAGAAATTTAGATTCTTAAATATAACTTAAATATGACCAGAATCTAATTTTATCAACAATCCATACCTATATAGTCGGACGTTCTTACAACCATGTTTTCCGAATTTCATCCAACTCTTGTAATAGGAGGAACATATTCAGGCCAAATAGTGCTTTGGGATATGAGGGCAAAATCTTTGCCTGTTCTCAAAACACCACTCTCAGCTTCTGGACATACTCATCCCGTATATTCAATGCAAATGGTTGGAACACAAAATGCTCATAATCTCATCACTGCAAGTACGGATGGATTAATTTGTTCCTGGCAATTGGATATGTTGGTCCAACCACAGGTATATGCTGGTTTTTTTTTTTTCTATATGATCTGTTTAATTTTTAAATTGATACGCTGCAATATGATATTCTTTTTAGGAAACACTAGAATTGGTTCACTCCGAACATAGCAAGACTGATGAAGTTTCGGTTACAGCACTCGGTTTTCCGGATAATGAAACTGCTGCCTTCTGGGTTGGAACCGAAGAAGGTGTTTGTTATCAAGCTAATCGATATGGACGTGCTGGCGGGTAAGAAATATAATTTTTCTTATAAATAAAATTGATTTATATATAAAACCTTGAGCTTAAAACTTTTTTTTTATGAATTACAGTAAAGCTGGTATTAATCAATATGATGTTTACAAAGGACATTGGGGGCCTATTACTGGTCTTCATTTCCATCCTATTTCTGGACCAGTTGACTTTTCAGATTTATATTTGACTTCTTCTGTGGACTGGACTTGTAAATTATGGAGAGCCAAAGTAATATTGATGACAAATTTGAAATAATGTTATATAAATCTTAAATGAAGTCTAATTTTATTTACTCTAATTGTCAATCAAATCGTAGTCAATTTCAAAACCATCAACTTCACCACAATCAATCACTCCATTATATTCATTTGAGAGTGCTGATGATTATGTTTATGACGTTAAATGGTCTCCTAAACATCCAGCTCTGTTCGCTTCCGTAGATGGTACAGGAAAATTTTCTGTGTGGAATTTGAATATTGACACAGAGGTCAGTATTGGTTGTTTTAACTTCTTAAGGAAATTTTAGTTTATTATTAAAGTTTTATCTTATTTAAATTGATCATAGGTACCAATTGTAAGTACCCAAGTTGGAAGCCAAGCCAAAGCTTTGAATAAAATTAATTGGGATAAAGAAGGACGAAAGACAGCAATTGGTTCTTCAGATGGACGTATTCATATTTATGATATTGGAGAGGTAAAATTTAAATATTATTTTAATTGAAACTATTTATTTCCTACTAATACATATTCTTTTTTTAAAAAAAAATTTTTAGTTGGCATACCCGCGCGATGACGAATGGTTTATAATGCAAAAAACAATTTCCGAAATGATTAATACCACCGAAAGTCATAGCGGAAGATATGCAATTGCTAAGTAATAAGTATAACAACAGCAATAAAATCTATTTTTTTTTTCTTATATATATATATTAATAACGTATTCAATGAAGTTAAGCACAATAAAATATAAATTGTGTTAATATTTTAATATTATTTAGAAATATATACGGTGTAATTTATGTACGTATATATATATATTTATATATATATATATTTATATATATATTTGTTTTTAGTAATAATTTTATACATATTTACACATTTATACTTATGGATTATTTCTTTAAAATATTTAGTAATTGTATTATTTAATATTAGAACATTCTAATAAATTTCTAGTTTATTGTAAAATTAATCTTTAAAATTATTTGGTCCTGGTTAATTTTTCTTCAATCATCACTTTAATCCATTGATATATAATTATTTCCAAAATTTAAAATAGTAAAAGAGTAACAATAATATACAATTATGTCCAATATCCTTTGGTTTAAATAATAATAAGATAATCTTTCTATCAAATTAAATGTATAATAGATTTCTAATTTAAATTTTTATTCAGTTTTGGCGGAAGACCAATTTGTCATACGATAATTTCGTAATTCCATAATTAAAATAATATTTATTTATGATATCTTGTAGGAACAAATGGCATTTTAACAACTTGCGCTTTTTGCATACGATTTCGAACTTTAACTTGAAGTTTAGTTGAAGATTTGTGATATCCTTGTTTAACATAACCCATTGCAACATTCTTCTGCAATGAAGGAGATGGTCCTCCACTTGTTATATTACCTAATAAAGAAATAAACATAAATAAACATTGCAATATATATAATAAAATTAAAATGTTAATAACAAAGAAATGTCTTACCGATTAACTCATTTTCATTATTGTAAATTTCGGCATTTTCTGAAATGAATGAATATGAATGTTGTTAACAAAACATAAAAAACGATTGTAATAAATTAATAAATAATACCTCTTGCCGGTGCCCCTTCAACAATAAGGCCAACCCGTCGACGCGTTACTCCTCCCTTTATTTGAGGTAGAACATGTTCTGCTCCTAAAAAACCACCTTCATTTCTTCTTCGTTTGCCTAATAAATTATAAATGTCAAAGAAGTGATAACTAACGATAAAACAATTTCGAACATACCTATTGTCCACGTTAGACCAGCTTCTACCGGTGTTGTTGTATCATCAAGGTCATGACCATATAAACACAACCCGGCCTCTAATCGCAAACTATCTCGAGCACCTAACCCAGCTAATTGGACACCAGGATATTTTAAAAGAAAGTTTGCGATTTGGACAGAAGCTGATGATGGAATACCAATCTTGTAATAATAAAATAGAAATGTTTTCAGCAAATAATGAATATTATGTATGGACAAACAAATAAAATTGACATATACCTCAAAGCCATCTTCTCCAGTATATCCTGAGCGCGTTACATGACAGTCGGAGCTTTTTATATTAAGTTGACGCGCCGTCATAAACTTAAAATCTGCCAAGTCTTTTCCACATAACTCTTGAAGAGCTGACACGGCTTTGGGACCTATAAGGTATAAATATAAATCTTTTTTGTCCTTAAAAAAAAAGTAAATGTATTATTTACCTTGTAAAGCCAATAAAGCATGGTCGTCAATAACTTTTAAATCAACGTCACCGCGAAACTTCTTCATTTCCTCGCGAATATGAGTAAGATCTTTATCAGCACAAGCGGCATTAGACACTATATGAATATAATCTTCATGTTTACATATAACAGTATCATCAATTATGCCTCCATTTTCGTTAGTGAAAACTGACAATGTAGAACTACCGAATGGTAATTCTTCTATATCAGCTACGACCAACTTTTCAAGAAAAGATATACGATCTCTCCCAGAAAGTCTTAAAAAAAATATTTGTATATATATTGTATATATGTAAGGAAATTAATTTATCATAAAAGAACGATAATCTTATTGTTTACCTTAACTGAAGCATATGCGATACATCAAATAATGAGGCGTTCTCACGAGTGTGTAAATGCGACGCTAATACTCCCAAGTTTGAATATTGAACTGGCATTGACCAGCCAGCAAAAGAAACCTGAATAAATATATACATATCACTTAATTCATATAATTTATTTTAATTTATTTTTTTTTTAAAAAAAAAACTAATTACCATTTTTCCACCCTTTTCGACATGAAAGTCATACAACGGCGTCTTTTTCAGTAGCTATTTTTGAGAATAAATCGAAAGTCAAACACAAACATAAATGACGTTAATAAAAAATTTCTAAAGAATAGAATCTGTATAATAATTACCATAAATCGCGTTAACTTTGGTGTTAAATTTTAAACTGACATTGTTACCTCCAGCGGAGCCTGCATAGTTTCTTTTAAATATAATCGAAGATAAACCTAGCCCTTTGTTAGAATGTGTAGCAAACGGTATTACACGAGATAAATAGAGACACCTTTTATAATTTGAAAAGGCGAGGTTCAACATGGTAACTGGAATTTCAAAATGTTTGCAGTTAGGTTTTTTTTTTTTTTTTTTTTAAAGCATTCTAATTCCTCCGATTTTGATTGGCTAATTATTCAAATTTTAAAACATTTGTAACGTGACTAAAGCAAACTACACAAATTATATGGAGAATTATCAATTATAAAATACAAAATAAATTCGAAAGCGGGATCTTATTTTTTTTTTTATATTACTTCCCTAAAGATAAAATACTATATCTATATTATACGTTACAAATAACTATCTTATTTAAATCCATTATCTATACACAAAAAAAAATATTCAAATTAAAATTTAAAGAAATTTACCGTTTTTAACTTTTGATTTATGTATATTTTCAATAATATGGGAAAATATTATAATGTTAAAAAGAATAAAGAGTCCATATTTCACTATATTTTTTTCAACGTGCGCTTGCCTTTTGACATTTTAGTATCTTCACTCAGCTTTCTTTGCGAAAGACTTCGAGTAACTACTTGTATTTCCTCATCTTCCTCATCATCTTCATTATAGTTTTCATTTTCGCTTGAATCTACCAACTCTACACTATTGTCTACATGTCCATTGGAATCTCCCTCATCATCTTCAGTTTCTATATTATCATCTTCGGGCCCTTCATTATTTCTCAATTTTCTCGTTCTTTTAGATAATAGCTCCTTCTCCGCTTTACGAATATTTCTATTAAGAACACGCCACTCTTTCATTAAAGATCTAAGTTCTTCCTCTGCATCATCATATAATTTTTCCTTAGCCTCCGGATCTAATGTGGGATCATCAAAATTAAACTTAGCAATATTAATCTGAGCTTCTTCACTTAGGTCTTCAATGGTTAAAGGGGGTGAGGTCGATGAGGGTGAGGTCAATGGTGCTGCCGTAGATGGTACATGATCTTCCTCCATAATTTCTATTAACGGTTCATTGCCTTGTTCGATTTGTTCAGAATGTTCTGGTTCGGTCGAACTTTCAATTAAATTTTCTGCTATTTCCATAGGCAATTCCGTTATTGTTTCAACCATTGTAGACGTTGTATCAGGTGTTGTTGGTGGGGGGACCATAGGTTCTTCATCCATTGATTCGCCCGCAGAAGTACGTTTAAGTTTACGATTTCTTGAATTATTATTAGAGTTTTGTTCTCCATCATCTGATATATCTGTCAGACTGCTGCGTCGTCTTTTTGAACTTTTATTTGATTTTTTTTCTTCTTTATCTACAATTTCAGCTTTCATATTGTTATTTGAGTCTTTTATTGTATCATTAATCAAGGAATCACTGTTCTCAATTTCAGATTTTCGTCTACGACCTAATAATGGTGGTTTAGGTGGATTTACTATATATACATCTATAGCGCTTTCTTCTTCAGATGGTTCGGCTTCATGAGAAAATTGAGAATTTTTATTACCACCATTTGTTATTGAAGATTTGCTCCTTGTTGAACTATTACGTCGTACTGGAGACTTATTTTTTCTTGAACGAATTCTTGATGGTGGAACTATTACTTCGACTTCTAAACTTTTATAATTGGATTTTGATCCACTTTTATATGTACTTGCTCTTCTCTTGGTATTTGACGTTGTGGTTGGAACTGGAATGTGTTCTTGATTTTCCTCTATTGGCCTCTTCCAATAGTCCCATTTAAAAGATTTATTTGGTTCTCCTTTCCCTTTACATTGCATTGCCCTACGAACCCCAATATGACTTGAAAATTTATCACTATTATTTTTAAATGTGAGATAAGGTTCTTCATCTGGAATAAAGTGCTTCAGACCTTTTTGTTCGACTACCGAACTTAAACGAACAATGAGTTAGTTATGGTTCTATTCACGAGCGTAATATAAAGTATGAATATTCTTAAACACATACTATGTCATATCCTCAAAATATCTTACAAGAAATTTTCCGGAAAGCAAATTTTCTTCAAGTTTCCCATCAACGTCCATCGATTCGTCAATTTCATTTTGTGGAACGATCTATTTTTTCACATATATTTTATATAACAATATTTTTTTGTATAACATAATTTTATGAATTTATATTTATACTTACCATCGCAGGCCACCAAAATTCTGCTTTATCATCCAATGGATCAACTATATAAAAAATTTAAATTTAGTGTCGAGTAAGGATTGGGTTTGCTGTTCCACAAAATTTTTAAAAATAATTACCGAATACTATATCACGACCTTTGAAATTATTTTCTGATTCCTCATCTTTCGATCGTGATGCCTTTCGCTGAGACTTTCGTGTCTGAGGTTTTTTTGGTGTAATTATTACCCTAGACCTTGTCCTTCGTGTAAATTTACGAATAGAAATACCTTTACATAATATTGACAAATTTGTCAAAAATTTAAAATCTTTTAAAAAAGGAAATTTTATTTTTTAAATTAATTTACCTTCTTCTTCGTCTATGTCGACATCGTCTTCACTTTTGGCTGCCTCTGATTTTTCGTTACTATCTTCTGCTTCTTCTGAATTACTTTCATCTTCCGTTCTTTTCTCCTCGCTTTTAGGGCTTCCTTCTGAGTCCATAAAAATAGGTCCCGGAGAGTCATACAATGGTGGTTCTGGTTCAAGTGCTTCATCCTCCAAGATGAAGTCTTCTTCAAGTTCTATATCTTCTTGTTCTATATATCGGTCGATTCTCATTTTAGTAAGACTCGTTCCGGGACCTTCTATCCTGTGCATTTGCATCCTTGTAAACCTTCGTCGCATATTCGTTTTTGCACTGTGATCAGGAAATAAAAAAAAAAATAAAAGTCTTGTTATTATAACAGTTAATTTGTTTGTGATGCATAAGCTAATTGGAAAATTTTTTACAAAAGAAATGAACACTTTGTAAATATGCTTGCCTTGTTTTATCTTCCGGAGCGGAACTTTGCTTTTTGTTCGCTTCTTGTTGCTTTTGTTTTATGTTTGCTTCTTGTGGTTTGTCAACCCCGTCGTCGCGTGGTTGAACTGTTCCTTGTTGTTTCTTACCAAAAAACTCCCAGTGTAGGCGTTCGTTTGTACAAAACCACGGTTTATTAGCACCGTTCTATAGACAAAATAAAGAGTGAATGTAAAAAAGTTGTATCGAAGAGGATAAGTGATTAATAGGAGAATATTAACGAAAGATAAAGAGTAAGCTGCGGTAATTGTCAAAAAAGTTGAAAATCTCACAGGAGAAGACGACACAGAGGTCATAACTGTGTTCACGCGCTACTTTTTATGCGGAATAATATTTGAGCAATATAAGTGAAGTAATTCCGCTTAAAACGTAGATGGCGAGAACCCTTGTTTCGTGGCTGCAAAAAAGGAAGAAGAAATAACTTATGGGAAAGAAAGTTTTTTTTTTGGAAATTCTTTTTATACCTATCGATGAAATCTCTGATTGGTCAGTTTAAAAATTTTTATTTTATAATGGTACTTAAATGCAGAAGATATATTTTGATGATTGAATTTATTTAATTTGATGAGTTTATTTTTGAATTTGGGACCTTAAAGATTAATGAAATAAAATTATAACAAAAAATTTTAATATAAGGAAAGACCGAAGAAAGTGTGTTTTTTTTTTCCAATGTTTCCCAATTAATAAATTCATTTTTGGTTGGATCGACGAATCAACAGGAAACATCGACTTGTCGAGTGGGCAGGTTGGTCGATTTGAAGGTTGATTTGATTGGTCAGATCTCTTCGTACGACTCCCGAACCTTTGGACTCTAGTATCAAAGTCGAGATAAAAATGAACTTATTTCTCGCGTTTTTTTCTTTTATTTTTCTTTTAAATAAATATTAACATTGTTGTGATCCAAACAATAAAAACAGACCCTATAATACGATCGACAATTGGTTACCTTAATATGGAAACCGAAATACCTAATTTAGAAATAGACTTATCTTAAAAAGTATTTATTTAATTTTGCATGCTTTTTATTTATAATTATTTATTAGTGAATGGAAATTAAAATTAAATATTTTAACTATTTTATTATTACAAAAACCAACCTGTTGCTTTTTTATAATAACTAAATTTTATATTTTTATTATTACTAATTTTATAATACAAGTTATCAGATAATTTCTATTAATCAATTTATATTAATTATATGAAAGAAATAGAAATATTACCATATAGAAGCATTTTAGTAAAATCATATTACAGATAATATTATTAATTACATATCAATTTGATTTTACTGCTAACATTTATATATACAATAAATACTGATAATAAAAAAAATAAATAGTAAAATAAATTCAAATTTAATATTAATTTAAAAAGGTTTAAATTTTTTTTACTATAAATATTAATTTTAAAATTAACTTAAATTAAGATTTTATTAAATATACAATATATGATTTATTTAAAAATAAAAAAAATCTCCTTTTTTTTTAATTTATATTTATAAATAATAATATTAAATATTCTATTTCTTAATCATTATTTTTTAAATAAATAAAAAAATTGTATATATATTATTATAGCAATAATTTTTTTTTTTAAAAAAAAAATATTAATATTTTTATTTATAAAAAAAATTTTTTTAATTTAATTTTCATTCTATAAAATAAACGAATGTTTTATAATAAAAAGAAAACTATCAAAAAAAAATAAATTTTTATTGTATAAACTAAATATAATTATTTTATTTAATAAATTCAAATATAATATTAATTTAAAATTTTTTTAAAGTTACTTTTATTACTATTATAAAGTATTTAATAAATAATTTTAAATCTAATAATTAGATTTTGATAGAAATATTATTATTAAAGCTGTCTTATTGAAAGCTTTTTAATAAATATAAATACACTTAAAGATAGCATTACAATATTTAATAATATCACAATTAGTTACAATATTATAATACTTATTTATCATCTATTGCAATTAATTAAGTTATTATTTTTATATTAAATTAATTTTTAACAAGATATTTTAAAAAACAGAATCAAAAATAATTTTGTAGTTTACTATTAAATAAACTTGTATTATTTTAATTGCAATTTGATAATTGATCAATAATAAAATTAAATAAAATTATTAACAAAATTATTAATAAAATTAACTTAATTAAATTAATTAATATAGTTAAAAAGATTTATTTAGTTAAACTTATTAATAAAGTTAACAATTTTAAAGTTTTATAATTTTTTTCATTTTATTTTATCTTTAATTAATAATAAAATAAATCAAGAATTCTATATAAATAAAATAAAATTTTCATATATTTAACAATTAAATAATTATATTAATTAAATATGCTTAAGTTAAATTATATAATAATTTTATAATTTAACAAAATTTCATAATCTAATGATAATTTTATAATCTAATTATATAATTTATCTATAATTTTATAATTAAAATTATATAAAATATAATTTAATTATGATAATATAACTTAATTTAATAACTATTTTTTTATTATTCTAGATATTATTTTAATATTTTAATTTTTAATATAATATAATTAAGGTTACTTATTTAAACTTATTTTTATTTGATAAAATATCTAAATTTTAGTTTTGCTAATTTATCTAAGTTAATATAGTTTCGCATTTTTATAAGCTTTGATATAATTTTTACTTTTTTCAAAATTTCATAGCTTTTTAATAAAATTTTAATATAATTTTGCTAAATTTTATATTTTTCTATCTAAATGACTTAATAAAATCCTTAGATTTTATCTAATAATCTTAAATATAATCTAATTAGAAATATAATCTAAAAATAATATTATAATATAATCTAACTATGCTATTTTTTTTGTTAATAAATAGTTTTAATTAGAGTTTTAAATAAGTCAAGTCGAATCAAGTTTATTTTATAAATCTTTCAATTTAACTTGATTCAAATTATATAAATTTTAAACTCAACTCAATTTGACTTAACTTGATTTTAAATTGTTCTAAATATTTATTGCTATAATAATATTATTATATAAAAAAAAAAATAAAAAACATAATATAATTTTTTTTCAAAATTTCCTAAAATTATCTTAAATATTTACTGTTATAATATTACCATTATTTAAAAAATAATAAAAAAAAAGAATAAAATAATAAAGTATGATATATTTTTTTTTTAAAATCTTCTAAAATTATTTCAAATATTTATTATTATAATATTATATTACCAATATCTAAAAATAAAAAATAAAAATAAAAATAAAAATATGACACATTTTTCTTTCTAAATCATCTCAAATATTCATTATTATAATATTTTTAATATTCAAAAAAATAATGTAAAGATAATAAAAATTAATACTTCCTCTTAAAATCATTTTAAAAATATAAAATAAATAATTTATTTTTAATACGAATGATACCTTTTCTGACTTTTTGTAAATTCTTTATTTTTCATAATATATTTTTCAGTTATAATACTTATTTCAATTTTAATATTATAAATTATATTAGTTTAAGTTTTATATAACTATTTTAAAGTATTAACAAAATATAACTAATTATAGCATTATATATTATCATTTGTGTTTTCATTTTATTATATTTAAAATGATAATGTAACTTTATAATCAAATACAGATCAAAGAAGATATTTAGTTAAAAAAGAAAATAAGAAAGAATATTAGTAAAATATACTAAATAAATTTGAAAATATTAAATTAAATAAAGAAAATAATAAATCTTAACCAATTATTATGAATAATTATATACAGCAATTTTAGATTTTAACAATTTTTTTCATTTATTTTGTTAAATTTTAACAAATATTATTGATAATTGCTAAGTATTTAGAATAATAATTGCTAATTGAATTTTATAATTTATTTACAATATCATAGCTATTTAATTTTATTAATTTACTCTCTTTTTATAGGTAGTTTTTTGTTTTTTGGTAAGTAATTAGTTTAATTTTTTTTATTTTTTATTTTGTTCTTTTTGTTTCTTTAAAAATTTCTAACATTTCTATTTTTATAAATTTACTTTTCTTTTTATAGATAGTTTTCAGTTATTTTAATAGCAATTAGTTCATTTTTTCATTTTTTCATGTTTTTTTCATTTTTTTAAAAAATTTTAACATTTATATATGTATAATATAAATTTATTAATTTATTTTCTTTTTATTAGTTTAATTTTTTCATCTTTCTATTTGTACTTTTCATTTTTTTAAAATTCTAATACATTTCTACTTTTAACTTTTTTAGCATTTATTCTTTCAATTCTTTCAATCTGATTTCTTAGGATTATTTTAAGCTTTAGATTTAAATTTGAAATAGAGACTTGAGTGACTTTATTTATTTAAAAATATTTTGCTAAATATTTCTTTCTTTATTTTTTAAGACGTCAGACTTAAATGAATTAAACTTAAGATAAATAGAAAGTTTAGGTAGCTTTCTTTTAGTTAGAAATATTTATTAATATTTCTTTTTTATTTTTAAGATGCTGAATTTGAATGAATTAAACTTAAGATAAATAGAAAATTTAAATGATTTTCTTTTAATTAAAAATATTTACTAAATGTTTTTTCTTTATTTTTTAGAACGCTGAACTTGAATGAATTAGATTTGAGGAATTTAGGTAGTTTTCTTGTAATTGAAATGTTTTACTAAATATGTTTTTCTTTATTTTTAAAACACTAGACTTGAACGAATCAAATTTAAGATAAATAGAAAGCTTAATAACTTTCTTTTAATTAAAAATATTTTACTAAATGTTTCTTTTTTTATTTTTAAGGATGTCAGATTTGAATAAATTTAAATAGAGATTTAAGTGATTTATTTTAGTTGAAAATATTTTACTAACATTTCTTTCTTTATTTTTTAGGATATCAAACTTAAACGAACTAAACTTGAGTAAATAGGAGATTTAGGTATTTTTTTAGTTAAAAATATTTTTACTAAATGTTTCTTTATTTTTTTAGAATAATGAACTTAAATGAATCAGACTTGAGATAAATAAAGAGTATGTTATTTTTAGTTAAAAATATTCTTATTAATATTTTTTTTATTTTAGAATGTTAGATTTTAACAAAAAATTTCGTTTTATTTTAAAAAATTTGATTAATTAAATGATTTCATTGATTTTTAATTCAAATAAAAATATTTTTTTTTAAAAAATAAAATTAAATAAACTACCTGAAATTTTTAATAATAAAAAAATTACCTATTCCTATTATTAATTATTATTTTTTATTATATAAAATAAATTTAAGGCAAAATTAGTTATCTAATATT